ACAGAGTATGAATGGTGAGAAAATACAACTTGATAAAAACTCTTCTCAAAGTGAAAAGGTATCTGCTAGAAAGGTTTATTTTCCACCATACTCATCTGCAGTTCCTGCCATCCTAGACAGCTCCTTAACCTTATGTTAACTCTGCACCAAACTGCAAGATCTACACAACTTGTGAAATCATTATATCATGCAGGTTACATTGTTAGTGAAGGAACACACTCAAACTTTACACATCACTGGTCAACATGGTAAAACATGGACCATATAAATGACAGTAATCCCACCTTAACTGGTGCTGGGATGATATGTAAAAAACTCTTGGTAGAAAGCATGATATTAATAATTCAACTCTTGATGATGGCAATAATTCATGGTATGCACCTAGCATCTTATCATTGATGACCTGTCACTGAAGATCTATTGAAGAATATTACACTATCAAATCAGATAGCAGCTGAAAAGCAATAAAAGACAAGAGAAATAATAACAATTTGAAGATAAGTTTGCCAACATTCCACAGAATGCTCACAACTATGTTGCTACATTCTAAGATTCAATTTCTAAAATAATGATAAATACATATACACAAAATAATGTATAAACAGAATGTTTTACACTATTGATTTGTTACGTATATTCTTCTTTCTTATTTCAACAAACTGGCCGTATCCCACCAAGGCAGGGTGACCCAAAAAGAAAGAAAATCCTCAAAAAGAAAATACTTTCATCATCATTCAACACTTTCACCTCACTCACACATAATCACTGTTTTTGCAGAGGTGCTCAGAATACAACAGTTTAGAAGCATATACGTACGTATAAAGATACACAACATATCCCTCCAAACTGCCAATATCCCAAACCCCTCCTTTAAAGTGCAGGCATTGTACTTCCCATTTCCAGGGCTCAAGTCCGGCTATATAAAAATAACCGGTTTATAAAAATAGGTACTCGGCACAAACCACAGTCTGTACTTTAAGAATGAAAAACAACATGAACTCTCACCAAGTGTATTTCACTGCTCTTAATTTATAACAGTGAACTTAACCCACAGAAAAGGTGGGGTTTGAACCCATGGTAAGTCCTAAAATTTCAGGTCAGCGTGTCAACCACTCGGCCAACTGGCCAAGTATTTGAAGTGAACAATGAATAATATGAAATTCTACATCTTTAGTAAGTCAGTTTATTTTGGTACACACAAATACAGTTACAGTGGAACCTCAAATATCGAACTTTCTTCGTTCCAGATGGCTGTTCGAGTGCCATTACCGAATGAACTTATTCCCATCAGGAATAATGTAAATTAGATTAGTTCATTTCAGACCCTCAAAAATACGCTTATAAAAGCACTTACAAAAATACACTTACATAATTGGTTGAGTTGGGAGCAGTTCGATATTTGAAGTTCCACTGTACATAAATTATCAAACATAGCAGCATATGTGCAGAGAACCTAGGATAACTCAAAAAAAAAAGTCAGAGTGACTTATTTCCATTGGGGGTCCTATCTTTGATAGGGTTTAACATGGAAGGAGGAGGGAAGAGTTAGGTAGCAAGTCAGACTGGCAAATAGTGGATGGAGGATTGAGGTTCCATTGCTCCTTGCACTGCGTGACCCACAATTAGCACTTTATGTAAAGATTAATAACAACACGAGATTAATAATAAAAAAAAAAAAGAAACGGACAGTATCCAGTATTGGAGAAGCTCTACCCTAGACTGAGGTATGGGTGATAATCAAGAGGCAGTAGAACTTTTGTAAAGCTGGATAGAATTTAAAATGAAAACTAAACCCAAATGGCTCCTTGCTGTTCATAATTTATATAAACAATTGTGACAAGATGTTGAAGAGTGAGCAAGGTAATATTTTGTGAAGGCATTCTGGGAAACTGGTTAGCCCGACTCGAGTCCTGGAGGTGGGAAGTATTATGCCTGCACTCTAAATGAGGGGTTTGGGATATCTGCTGTTTGGAGGGACATCTAAACTGTAATATCTGCATGCCTCTAGCAAGACAGTGATAGTGTGGGTGATCGTATAAGTGTTTCTTTTTTGGGTCATCCAGCCTTGGTGGGAGATGGCCAGCATGTTAAAAAAAAAAAAAAAAAAAAAGACAAAGGAGTAAAACAGATAGAGTAAGCTAATTCACTGAAGAAAAAAACATACAAAATCTCTGAGAACACCAGATGATTTTAGCAGAGTGCTGTTATCTGAAAAGTGGCAAGTGAAGTACAAGATAAATGTATGGTCCAAATCCTGGGAAAAGCAAAGTACTACAGTACTTGTAAATTTGATATAGCAATACAGAAACTGATATAGAGAAAAAATGATGCAAAGCTGACAAGTGTGAAAAGACAGTTAGAAAGAAACTTTACTGAGACTTGTGCCTGTGGACAGGCTTCTACACTGACTGAAGACACTTGTCCACAAGCAAAAAATTTCAAAGAAGCTCCTCTCTGCAACTGTATTTTTCACCATGGAAAAGTAATAAATCTAAGAGAGAAATCCTTGTTAGTATGAATCTAAAGCCAAGTCAGCAATATATAAGTAGAGATGAACCCTGATTTACAGTACTTTGCTTTACAGCATCTCACTAATGCAGCGATTTTCAGTTATACCCATTCTTCATTTATTCAGACTTCTTACAATAAATATATTCACCACTCACTATAAGCTAATGATGAAAATATTTTAAGGTAAGAAATGTGTGTACTGTATATCCATTTTTGAGGCCTAGCTCTATTGCTCACTTAATATAGAGGCAACAGAAGTCCCAAAATAATACTGTGTATCAATATATACCATTAATTAGGTCTTATTTAAATTATCCAGTGCCATTCTAGTCTCCATATTAAACAATGGGCAGATATGAGGTGAAAAATTACAGAGAATGATGACAAAACACAAATAACCCACCATAAGCCATGAGTGTCGTAAGAGGTAACTGAAATGCCAGGAGCAAGGGGCAGGTAACCCCTTCTCCTGTATAAATTACTAACTTTAAAAAGAAAAACTTTTGTTTTTCTTTTAGGTCACTCTATCACGGTGGAATACAACCAGTTTGTTGAGGAAAAGAAAAAATTGATAAAGTTATGATGACGTTTTGGTCTACTTGGACCATCAACTAGTTGGACTGAAACATCATTTTAAGTCTCATTCTCCTCTGTGCTGGTAGGATCTATCTAGCATGGGAGAGCAGATCTACTGCAGTGTTTATCTAGTTTCATAAGAGTATAGTAAGCATACCTTTGATGTTAATACTGCATATGTGGTATTTATAATAAACATGCTGGAGAGACTGCAAAAATTATTCCTCGACACACTGTGGCTTCATACGCTTGTGTGCATGTGATTTTAATATACAAGTTAATAAAAATGATCCCAATTTAAATTGTTTTGTTCTAAAGATGTTTTTGGCAGTACAGTAGATTTCAGATTAAGATGGTCAGACTGTAGAGAATTTCATAACAGATTGCAGACTTGTATTACAGTGTACCATTTTTAATTTTGATCATTTTAGATTTTAGAATGTTGCAGAGTGCAGATTATTAGTTAATAATATATGGGACTGTGAAAAAATATGGGACTGTTTACCTGTCAAGAATAAAATGACTTAAATTTTATAAAAATGTTATAACAGGTAAAATATTTACAAATTGGCTCTTGATCGAGGTTAAAAATAAACTTTTTCACAAGCAAAAGGCATGTACATGCTTGCACAATGTAATGGAATAAACTACAAACAAGGAAAATGCAATTGCTGCACTGCCTGCAAGTATATGGGGGAGATTTTTCATATGTATAACACTTGAGTACACAGACAATATACTAAATCTGAGATCAAAAGCGTTCAACACAGAAAAAGTTGATGAAAAAAAACACGTGGAATATCTGGGTATCATTATCTGAGAGACATTTTGGTCACCAGGAACTTTTATCTACCAAATACATACATGTCTCAGTATTACATTAACAAAGTCTCTGATGGCCAAAAACATATCTTAAATAGATACATAGGTAATGCATACGTGTCTTATTTTTCAGTTTATAAAATGATAGAGATTTATAATAAAGATCAGCATATCGATCTCAATTCTGATTATGTCTATAGAATGAGGTAGAGCCCTGAATCTCTGCTACCATATTTAATACATGGTCTCTGTAGTCAAGCAACTGACTATTTTCTAAGATGCAACCCACAACAGTTAAACAACAGCTGGGTCCACTATTTATTGCTATGTGATGAGGGGCAACAGATGACCATACATTCAACCTTGGTATCCAGTACCTTCAGTTATGAAAAGGCTGTGAAAGACATTTTATACTGACTTTGTGAACATATACAGAAATGCTCACATTGTCTGTGGTTCGATTCCCAGTACAGGTGGAAACACTGGGCGTGTTTCCTTAAGACACATACTGTTCCTCTTCACCTAGCAGTAAACAGGTACCTGGGTGTTAGCCGACTGGTACTGGTCGCATCCTTTCTATCTAGCATGTCACTGATGTCAGATATGATCTGTATAAGTTGTATCATGTACTTGTAGAGATAAAGATTATTATTATACAATATTTATCCTACACACTTTTGAATTTTTAGATTTCAAATGTTCCAGCTTCGTAACTTGGAAAATTCAATTATTATATTTTACTGAAGGGCATCTTATCAAACAGCTTGATTTACAAATTTTTTCAAGCCCATTTTTTTTTAATTGACTCTTGACTTCTTACACTGAAAACCAACTTAAGTATCTCATTTAATTAATTCTAAACATTTTTCCTGTTCCCAAATCTTTCTTTCTTTTTGGACATCCTCATGAATGTCAATATTATCCACATTAGAGTCACACATAAAAAAAGATATGGACTCTTTAAGACAATAAGTGAACCAAAACCTAGAATAAAATTTATTACAAGGACAGATTTAACGGGGGGCTGAAGTGTACGGTATTAATATTATATTTTTAGTGTAAGATAAGGTTTAAATTAAAAGACACATGAGTAGCTTTTAACAAAGAGAACATTTTATAGGGACAAAACTTTCCAATATTTACAGAAATTGTAATCAGATGTAGTGCACTCTCATAACTGTTGTTAATTGTGCTGCATTTATTAATAAAATCAGAAGTCATGATTAGGACTGAAGCAGTATGCTGAATATTCAGCAATATACATGGCAAAAAATCCAACTTAAGTCTCATGGTATCAATTCACGAAAAAACATGATCAAATCCACATTTATTAGAAAAATAATACCATCCTATTTAGCAATACCTGATATCCTTCTCTTCACCACATAGCTCGCTGCACTCCAGATAATTTATTGTAATCAGCTTCATGACGCCACACTATACGTGACAACCTCCATCTGCAAGAAATCCCAATTATATTAATGAAAGTCTATTCTTGATACAAATATACAATGAGACAGAATCACTACTGCAATAAAAACACCCTTAGGCCATTTTGTGTAGAAACACAGATGTATTTTTTTTTAACATGTCGCCCATTTCCCATTCAGGCAGGGTGACTCCAAAAGAAAGAAAAAACTTCAATCATCATTCAACACTTTCATCATCACTCATACAATATCACTGTCTTTGCAGAGGCGTTCAGATACGACAGTTTAGATGTCGCTCCAAACTGCCAATATCCCAAATTCCTCCTTTCAAGCACAAGCATTGTATTTCCCACTTCCAGGACTCGAGTCTGGCTAGCTGGTTTCCCTGAATCCCTTCACAAAATATTACCCTGCTCACACACCAACAGCTCGTCAGGTCCCAAAAACCATTTGGCTCCATCACTCTTTATCTAACATGCTCACGTACGCTTGCTGGAAGTCTAAGCCACTAGCCCACAAAACCTCCTTTACCCACTTCCTCCAACCTTTCTGAGGATGACCCCTACCCGCCTTCCTTCCCCTACAGATTTGTATGTGCTCCAAGTCATTTTACTTTGCTCCATTCTCTCTAAATGACAAATAATTCATAATTTGTGAATTATTATTGTTATTAATAGGCCAAGTCGAACTGAAACAGATCATAAGTTTCTTTCTTCTACCGGGGGTTAACTGTGCTTATTTTTAAACCAAGCTCAAAACCCAAAGGGTCATACAGCACTGCAACATTTTGTAATGTTTTCCCCTGGCATTTTTTTCCCTAAATTTTCAACTGAGGTTCTTGTTCTTATCAATGATTAAAAATTTCCCATATGAATTGGGGTCGCCCTCAAAAAGGGTTGGAGGGGGGGGTAAAGGGGGTTTTTTTGTGGGTAAGGGGCTTGGATTCCAGCAAGCGTGCGTGAGCTGTTAGAAGGAGTAAATGGAGACGAATGGTATTTGGGACCTGCGATCTGTTGGAGTGTGAGCAGGGTAATATTTAGTGAAGGGATTCAGGGAAACCGGGTTATTTTCATATATCGGACTTGGCCTGAAAAGGGAAGTACAATGCCTGCACTTTAAAGGAGGGGTTTGGGATATTGGCAGTTTGGGGGAATGTTGTGTATCTTTTTAAAGTGGGATGCTTCGATGTTTTATTCGAGCACCTCTGCAAAAACGGAAATGTCGAGTGTGGTGAAAATGTTGAATGATGATGAAAATATTTTTTTTTTGGGGATTTTTTTTTTTTTTGGGTCACCCTGCCCGGGGAACGGGCCCACTTTTTAGAAAAAAAAAAAAAAAAAAATGAATTTCTTTTACCTTTTTATGATTTTTATATGGTTATTATTAATGCATTCCTGAAGCAAGTGGTTTTAAGCACATAACAACTGAACTCGAAATATTTTAGCTTTCCACAGCCATGTACGTGCTAGTATCAGGAGTGACATGCCCAGTGTTACTGGGTACCTGATGTCTGAAGCAGTTTTGGATAAATGGATTAGAGCATCGTGGATTTTGGCTGGCTTCCCACAAGGCGGGCTAAAACATCACAGGTTCATCCCTGGTTTGTGGCAGTACAGCCTCTCCTCACTTAATGACGGAGTTCCATTCATAAGACCACGTCAGTAAATGAATTCGTCGCTAAGTAAGGAGCATACTATAATGGTAGTGGGTTTGTGTCAACCATCTTTAATGCTGTTTTAATGTCACCTTTGCACCATTTATAACAATTCTGGTATATTTTAAAATGTTTATACAGTAGTGTACTATATATTGTAATAAACAGAATAGAGGAAATCAGCTCTAATATACATTATTCATGTATGCATACTGGTCAGAGAGCCCGTTGTATGTCAGAGTTGTTGGTAAACGAGTACATCGCTAAATGTGGAGAGGCTGTATTATAGTTATTATGTATCCTTTTCTTCTATCAGCCAATGAGGACATTTTGCAAGTGTAAATGAAAGCAGCTAAACAATTTAATCTTAAAGTACTTACCTAGTAACAAGGCCACGAGGTCTAGAAGTAAGCATACACCGCTTGTGTAGTTGAGAGATGCTAGATTTACGAGGTAGTGCATGTATCTCTTTGTCAGCTATTTCCTGTTGAGATCAAATTTATTGTAATAACGTTGGGAAAATTACTGACAATATGTTAGGTACAAGAACACAAATGCAACTACTTTGCATTTTAATGTGGCAACGTTTCGCTCTCCAGGAGCTATGTCAAGCTTGACAAAGCTCCTGGAGAGTAAAATGTTGCCACAATAAAATGTTGAGTTAGGTAAACTTATAAAATTATACTATGTACATTAAAAAAGTTTAAGCATTAAAAGCCTACAATAGTACAGTTAAAACTGTGGCACCTTTATCTAATAAGAACTTTGTTCGAACAGAAATTGATACAACGGTTTTAAATGTACGGTCCATACTTGTTATTTTTTTATATAAAGCACTGTACATCAAAGATGCCTGCTGAATAAATACACTTACTTAGTACATCTTAAAAATAACAACACATTCATGAACTAACAAATTTTGATCAAGATTACATTTTTACAGCATAAACTAGATACAATAAAAAAAAGACATTCAATGAAAACAAAAGAAATTGACTAAATTAAAACTTTTACATATAAAATAATTTTGTCTCTTCTGACACCTGTTTGAAAACTAAATGTTCAAACCTGAATTGCTGGTGGAATGATCTTATTCTTTCTTAGTGCATTGATGTTCATTCTCTCAAATGCAAATTCCTTCACAATTTTCCGATGCTTTACTTCCTTAATCATTTTCCAGTTGGGATATTTGCATGCTGTAAGGCTTGTATGGAAGCTGCGTAATGGCACCTGAAAAAGTCAAACGGTCAGTTATAGAAAGTTTATATATGGACATATAAGACCAAAGAAATTTTTTTTTCTGTATTTGTCCAGTCTCAAAGGTGGAAATGAGGTGAAAAAGGGAGTACATATAGGAAAAGGTATAAGAGAAAGGGGAGAGTATGTTTATTTAGGTACAGGTACACATAAGAACAATTTCTAGGCAGTAGGTTGGTAGACAACAACCACCCTGCCAAGTGAGTGTATAACAGAAGCCTGTAATTGTTTTACATGATGGTAGGATTGCTGGTGTCTTTTGTCTGTCTCATAAATATGCAAGATTTCAGGTAGGACTTGCTACTTCTACTTACACTTAGGTCACACTACACATACATGTACAAGTATATATATACACACCCCTCTGGGGTTTCTTCTATTTTCTTTCTAGTTCTTGTTCTTGTTTATTTCCTCTTATCTCCATGGGGAAGTGGAACAGAATTCTTCCTCCGTAAGCCATGCGTGTTGTAAGAGGCGACTAAAATGCCGGGAGCAAGGGGCTAGTAACCCCTTCTCCTGTATATATTACTAAATTTGAAAAGAGAAACTTTCATTTTTCTTTTCGGACCACCCTGCCTCGGTGGGATACAGCCGGTTTGTTGAAAGAAGAAGAAAGAAGTACAAATACCCCAGGTACATGTAACTGTACTTGCTGCCTGGATAACTTGCCGATGATCTGAGGACCAGGCAGTACCCATGGAACTGAAGGAAATTTGATCGGAGGAAGTGGAAGGGTAGCTCCAATTCATTAAATCAAGAGCCCTTCACTACCATCAAGGTACCTAACTTGGAATAGTAATAGTTTAGTATACACGACTCTCAGTAGTTATTATACCACAAGCTAAACCTGTACGAGTCATACAGCGCCTGGGGAATCAATGGCACTCAGGTTTGATCCAAGGAAAAGGAAGATATTCCTTGTTCTTTGGATCAAGATCCCCCTTTACCTGCATCAAGGTACCTTCCTAGAGTTTACCTGGAGAGAGTTTCGGGGGTCAAGGAGAGAGTTTCTAGAGGTCTAATTATACACATAAGAGCTAAACCCACAAGGCTCATACAGTAAGGGTCATATAGCACTTGAATGGGAAGTAAGCAGGTTTGATCCAAGGGGTCAGCAGCTGCAGTTCCCTGGATCAAGAGCCCTGCATCAAGGCACCTTAACATACTTCAAACAGCCACAACTCAAAATAAAGTTTATTTAGGGGCAATATAACACAATTTTGGATGATAACAACTGTCTCACATAGTAATAAAGAAATAAATTACTTAAAATATCCCCTAAAATAGTCCTTAATATCCCTTGTGGTCCTTGATCTATTTTGGACTGGTCGCCTCGTGTGCCTAACACACATCTACCCATATAACAGCCTCTGTACTGCCCATAAACATAATCTGGAGACATTTTTGTCATTCTGCTGTCAAATATACATCACCTGTAGCGATAAAGGCGAGGAAATTGACAGAAAGTTAATAAAAGAGCGAGTGAGGAGAGTGGTTGTGGTGGCGGCCATGTTGGCGCGTCGTCTGCTGCGGCTGTTCCTCCACCACCCCCTCAACACTCTCATATTTACCTCTAAATTAAACCCTTACTTTAATTATATACTTCAGTAACTATCCCCGCAGTGCAAAAGAAATAATTTTGATATTTTTTAGAGCCCTTTTCATTTGTTAAAAATGCTGTTTTGCTGGTTAATTCCCCCGGGAATGTGGTTTGGCCGGGGTGGACGAGGGGAGGTAATGGCCGTACCCTCTAATGCAGGATTGTAATATCCCCTCAGCCAGACCTGTCATCCCCCTCTCTCTCTGCCAAGCCGGCGACCAGGTACGACACGTTTTGCCCACCGCACCATCTTCCCGAGTGGATCCTCGGCTTCCAGTGCCGGTGAAGTGTGCTGTTAGTGATGACAATCTGTGCAAAATCTAGAATTGCAGTTGAGAAATTATGGAGCCTCGTGGCGAGGCCGGCGCCCAGCCGGAAGCCACATCGATCAATCCTCTCGCCACTGCAATAATCTCTCAGAGGGATTTTTTTCCTGGGCAGAATGATGATTAATGCAATGATGTTGATATATATGCTTTGCTATACAAATAAAATAACCCCCTCACTTGCTTATGTTGCCGACTTTCCTGCCATGATAGTGAACTATTTGCAGTATTTAACTGACCCAGTATTATGGACAAAATACTCGGTTGAAACCCATTATGAAATATATAAAAATATATGTATGGCATTGAAACGTTAATAGTCAAGCAAGAATTACAAAAAATGTGCATTTAGAACTATATATTACAGTAAATACAAAAAAATAGGCATTTTACAAAATATCATTACTACTCACAGAAGTTGTCTCCCATATATCAAAAAGTGAGGTGACAGAAAAATATAAACCAAAATACGAGAGATAGGTCATCAAAAAAATTGACTTCAAATAATGGAAGGTCTGACCCACGACTCGTTACACACCTACAGCAGGTAGGACTAGAATTAAGATTTATTATAGGCCAGTTGAAGAAGAAAGAGACAGTGTCGTAGGTGGGAAAATCGACAAATCAGCCACACTTTTCCAGAGAATAGTTTTGGTGACTGTAGTGACCCAAGGTAGACCATAACAGTCTAATGTATCTCGATAGTGTGAGAATTTTGTAATAGTTAGATGCCATGATGCGAGAGAGAGACAGAAGAGAGGAGAGATAAGAGAGTGAAGAGAGGAGAAGATAGAGAGAGAAGAGAGAGAGAGACAGAGAGACAGAGAGAGAGAGAGAGAGAGGGGTGGTGGGTGTTGGCAGTGTCTTGTGCTCTGGGAGACACTCTGCTCCGTAACATTATTTTTAGCAGAGGAAAGTCACAGTTTGCTGCCAAGAATTGATGCTTACTCTCTTCTGCCTTTATTCTCTTATTATTATTAATTATTATTAATTTTTATTATTATTATTATATATTATTATTATTATTATTATTATTATTATTATTATTATTATTATTATTATTACAAATATTATTATTATTATTCGTAATTAATATAATTATTATTTATCTTATTTCCCCCTCTCTGTCCTTCCAGACTGAAAATACTCACATGTTTCTTGTTTATAGTGAGTCATTATACACAACACACACATATATATATATATATATATTATATATATATATATATATATATATATATATATTATATATATATATTATATATATATATATATATATCATGACTATTCTTCACGTTATGTATATATACATAAATGTTATTATATAATACAGACGGAGCCGCGGGGGCGTTGACTTCAAAACCCTCTCCAGGTATACTCCAGGTATACTCCAGGTATACTTCAGGTATACTTCAGGTAATACAGACAAGATGCAGAATTAGACACATGTGCAAACATCTGGGTATCTTTATTGTAGACGTTTCGCCATGCAGTGGCTTTATCAATACAGCACAAGAACATAAAGTGAAGAATTATATACAAAAAATGAGGTAATCATTCCCTCAGTCTTGTTGTTGGTGAAGATCTCAGACCGGGCCGCGGGGGCGTTGACCCCCGGAACTCTCTCCAGGTAAACTCCAGGTAGTAAACTATACCCAGATGTCACACGTATGTCTAATTTCTCACGTTATGTATACATCATGCCTCTCCCACTTCGCTAGCTAGGTCCTTCACATTTTCTGACTACTCAGTGCTGAAAAAACACTTCGTATCATCCCTGCAACTCATTTGTTTTAGCTTCGAACTGCGCCCTTGCGCACCTATTTCCTACCTCTCAAATAACCTGCCCCTGTCCACCTTCCTGTCAGTATTTTGCACACAGTGTCACCCTCGTCCCGTCCATTAACGTCATCAGGTTTAGCTTCCCAAGTTTTTCCTCATAGCTTATATCACTAAGTTCTGGGACTAGTCTTGTTGCAAACCTCTGCACATATTCCACTTCCTTAACATACTTCGTCAGATGTGGGTTCCATGCTGGTACTGCATACTCGAAGATGGGTCTGACATATGCCGTACATCAGATGCTTATTACTACAAAATGTCGAATTTGTTGCACTTGTGTCCTTTTACCTATCATATTGTCGGTAATTCTACCAATATTAATAATATTACTTTGTTATAGAGCTCAAGCAGGTTTGTAAGAGTTGTTTTATCTGTAAATCTTTCTAGTTGATGTTGTTTATAAACAACAACTTGTGGGTTTAAAAAACCGACGGGTTGATAAATGAGACACTTGCGTAACATTTGAGAATCTTTATTCTGGAAACGTTTCGCCAACCAGTAGCTTCTTCAGTCCAATTTGGAGAAAGATGGAAGATTAGGAGGAGTTTGAGGTAATCAGTCCCCACAAACTAGCTTAAAAAATGACTTATTGCCATATTTCATCCAGGTCTTAAGAACATTGTGACCTGGCTCACCTGGTCACCCATCCACTTACTGGCCAGACTCAAAACTGCCTTCGCTAAAAGTGAGACGTAATGTAAAGTTCACTACCAAGACACAATTAATTTATTATCTTCGTTATGTGCCCACATACCCAGCCTGTGGACGGGCAGGTTTGAATATTATTATACGCGGTGAAAGTAGGTATGCTAGTCATATAACTGAACAAGACGGTTGGTGCAATGATGTCACTTTATTAGGCACAGGTAGGCATAAGGACAATTATCATACATATTGTAAATGGACCAGGATGACCCCCAAAAAGTCAAAGTGACTTATTTCCATTGGGGTCCTTATTGGGGTCCTTGGCTTATTTCCATGAATGCCTCCTTATTTAAGTGTTGTTAGGTTACATGACTTACTCAGCGTAGAAAATATTAGCAGATCACTCTTTAAAAGTTGAAAAAAATCATTCAGCTCTTAAGAGAGCAGAAAAGCTTCGTATCCTGACAGAAACCAAGAATTCTGATTGGAGAAAATAATAAAATAATGCATAATTATGAGGCTGGTGATGATTCTGTGGTAATGTCATTGTTAAAATGTATATTAATGTTTACCATTGAGTGGGTTTTGACACTGAGAAGTCCAGTGCTGTATCAGTAGCTGCCAGATTCAGGAATATGGGATAATTCTCTTTTTTCCTCTATTTCCATCTGTATCTTGGGATGTCTAACACTGAATTTAGATTGTATGTGTCGCTGCGTAGTAGGAAAGTGACGTAAGGGTGTATGACGTGTACGCTTGGTGTTATTTGGTGAGAATTTAGAGCGGTTTTCTTGGGTGTGGAGGAGGCAACCAGAGGCGCATCGACCGCAGCTGCAGGCAGTTCGCTGCTGCGCACACCTGACTGACTGCTGTCACAGCCACATATATAAACACACACACACACATACAGGAAGGAACCATACATAGTTTTAAGAAGAGGTATGACAAAGCTCAGGAAGCAGAGAGGGAGAGGACCCAGTAGCGATCAGTGAAGAGGCGGGGCCAGGAGCTGAGTCTCGACCCCTGCAACCACAATTAGGTGAGTACAATTAGGTGAGTACAATTAGGTGAGTACAGTTAGGTGAGTACATACACACATACACCACAAACTACAGACAACAGGCCAAGTGCCTTTGAGAACTGGTAACACACACACGATAGTGACCACTGAAGGGGCGGGGCCACGAGCTATGAATCGATCCCTGCAACCACAATTAGGTGAGTACACACACATATGCACTCTAATTACTACTAGGAACAATAAGTCCTGACCATAATTTTTAAAGGGGTGGAGGGGTAAGCCAGTGGAAGGCCTCAGTCAGATGGCCAAATGCTCCAGCTGTGGGTTATCATATGATTAAAACCCACGTTAGGAAACACTTGTCCTGTATCCTGGCAACCTTACCTAACCTAACCAAATACACACTTATAACTGACTCACTTATAACTTCTGACGGGGCCAGGAGCTAAGTCTCAACCCTCACAAGTACAACTCTGTGAGGACACACTTGCAGACATAAACCGTTCAAAATGATCACTAAGGTGACTAAAACTAAAAAAAACAGTATTGATGATTAAGACGCACGTACAACAGTTGAAATAAAGATGATATCATCAGTCCAACAAACTTGGAGGAAAAATATCTGAGGAGATCAGTCCCTCAGCCTGGAGAAAAGTACAGCTCCATGGTCTGATATTATTAGTAGTAGTAATATTAGAATCTGTACTTCAAAACCCTCAATAGGCAATTAAGTAAATAAGTACGTAAGTACAATAATAGTCTAGTTATACATGTGTAATTTATCCTCCAGGATAACCCAAAAATATCACAGTGACTTGTTTCCATTGTTGTTGTTGGAGCGCAAAAGAAAGATTGAATAATAATAATAATAACAATAATAATAATAATAGTGATAATAATAATAATGATAATTATAATTATAATAATAATGATAATAGCTATAATAATAATAATAATAATAATAATAATAATAATAATAATAATAATAATAATAATAATAATAATAACAGTATAATAATAATAATAATAAATAATAACAATAATAATAATAATAATAATAAATAATAATAATAATAATAGTGATAATAATAATGATAATAATAATAATAATAGTAATAATAGTAAGGGAGGTAAGGCAGTAGGTAAGCTGGTACAGCCTGGCAGCTTTAAGCTGGCCTCTGTGTCCACAATCAATAACTTCCAGAAGCAAAACATTCCAAAAATGAGAACCGGAAGTATTTCATTGGAAGGAACACGTAGATATGATAATAACGTTACCGATATATAGATGACTCAGACACAGGTGCAGTACTGTCGTATCTTTATTTTCAACTTTGTTTTTTCTTTCATTTCCTTGAAATCTGTGATATATTGAACCTGCAACTGCAATTTTGTTACCAGTTTTGTTACCAGTTACTTTATTAATGAGAGTGGGAAGTAATTAGGTTTGATCTACCTATTTTGAGCCTACTGGCCCATACTAAGATAAGATAAGATAAGATTTCGTTCGGATTTTTAACCCCGGAGGGTTAGCCACCCAGGATAACCCAAGAAAGTCAGTGCGTCATCGAGGACTGTCTAACTTATTTCCATTGGGGTCCTTAATCTTGTCCCCCAGGATGCGACCCACACCAGTCGACTAACACCCAGGTACCTATTTGCTGCTAGGTGAACAGGACAACAGGTGTAAGGAAACGTGTCGAAATGTTTCCACCCGCCGGGAATCGAACCCGGGCCCTCCGTGTGTGAAGCGGGAGCTTTAGCCACCAGGCCACCGGGCAGATTTTTGTCAAAACTAATCATTTTCACCCACCTAATTGTCTAACCTTTTTCCAAAGCCAATTAATAGATGTTATACTATCATAATAACATGTCAGAGTAAAAGGAGACACAAATGAAAAATAATGTGATGCTTTATTGACAACGTTTCGCCCACACAGTGGGCTTTATTAAGTCACAAACAGATCTACCTGGGGTTGTGGAGGTTGTCAAGAAACAGGACATATGTTCCCCAACGCGGGTCTTAGTCATATGATGACCCACAGCTGGAGCTTTTGGTCATCTGACCGAGGCCTTCCACTGGCTTATCCTTTTCGGGCCACCCTACCTTGGTGGGAAGCGATCGATGTGTTTATATATAATTATCTCCACGACATAACAGTCTTCACAGAGGTGCGCCAAGCGGCCCTCCATGAGATGTTTGTAAGCGAGTTTCAAAAATTTATTTTATATTCTCTAGCATAGTAACAATATTTTTATTATTACAAGTACATGTACAAGGTATATAGACCATAGCTGACATCAGTGACATACTACTATATAGAAAGCTGCTTGTTATGCTGATGTATTTCCCGCAAATTAGGTCAATTTTGTCACCAGTCGACTAACACCCAGGTACCTATTTATTAGGTGAACTTGGACAGCAGGTGTCTTAAGGAAACATGTCCAAATGCCTCCACTTGTACCGAGATCGAACCACGGAACTCACTGTGTGAGCTGAATGCGCTAGCAATCTTCCGGGGAGATGTTGATACTATTAAAGTTCTTAATTTGGGTATCTCACCCGTCTAGGTTATAATCATTCTTTTATTCTGGACAGATAACACTGATATTCCTGCATGACCTTTATTTTAATTAAAATATTAATGGTTAAAACTAGCATTCCAACCTCTTATATTTTGTTGCTTATTTATTTCAGCTTGTAAGCTTAGGTGAACCAAGTCCCAGCCATGGGTAAGGAGAAGGTCCACATAAACATCGTGGTGGTGGGCCATGTAGACTCTGGCAAATCCACTACCACTGGCCACTTGATCTACAAATGTGGTGGCATTGACAAACGTACCATTGAAAAGTTCGAGAAAGAGTCAACAGAGATGGGCAAAGGATCCTTCAAATATGCCTGGGTTTTGGACAAGCTAAAAGCAGAACGTGAACGTGGTATCACCATCGATATTGCCCTCTGGAAGTTTGAAACCAAGAAGTTCTACGTCACTATCATTGATGCTCCAGGGCATCGTGATTTCATCAAGAACATGATTACGGGGACGTCTCAAGCTGACTGTGCTGTTCTGATTGTTGCTGCTGGTACTGGAGAGTTTGAAGCTGGAATTTCTAAGAATGGCCAGACCCGTGAGCATGTCCTCCTGTGCTTTACCTTGGGTGTGAAGCAGTTGATTGTTGCTGTGAATAAGATGGACAGCACAGAACCAAAGTACTCCGAGACAAGATTTGAAGAAATCAAGAAGGAAGTCGGCAACTATGTGAAAAAGGTGGGCTACAACCCAGCTACTGTGCCCATCCTCCCCATCTCTGGCTTTAATGGAGACAACATGCTGGAACCATCTGACAATATGCCCTGGTGGAAAGCAAAGAAGATTGAACGTAAGAGTGGATCCTACGAGTACTTGACTCTCTTCGATGCCCTGGATAACATTGAGCCTCCAGCCAGGCCAACGGAAAAGCCTCTTCGGTTGCCTCTCCAGGTACTGTACGAATGTTCAGCAGTGTCTGACTTCTGATTGTAATTAACTAGCCTATTATTATTATTATTCGATTCAGTATGTACTTGAGTTTTCTTCGGGTCTTCAGCAGTGCTGTATAACTCTTACGGGTTTAGTGCTTAATTAATGTAAGTATAATAATAATAATAATACTTTTGTATTCAAGAGAACGCACTAAACCGACAGGGGTCATACACCACCTGTTAGGTAGGAAGGTTTATTCCAACGGGAGTATAACTGTAATTCCTTGGATCAAGAACCCTTCACCACCGGCAGGACACCCCAATGAATAAGGACTGTTCTTCTAGGGCTATTTCACTTTAATTTTCAAACTTGCACTATATGAAGCCTATTTTTTTTTCAACAACTTTTATCGTCTAGTTTTGAATTAAGTCTTTTCTCGTGGAATTTAAAGTACAAATACTATAGGCCTTTACAGTTTTTGGATCCAATATACACCTATGTACTACACCTATACTTATATTTGTATGAAGAAATATCTGTATTTCTATGATGCTAAACACTTCATTTCTTCAACAGGACGTGTACAAGATCGGTGGTATTGGTACAGTACCCGTGGGACGTGTTGAAACTGGCATCCTCAAGCCCGGAATGGTTGTTACATTTGCCCCCACTGGTCCAACCACTGAAGTGAAGTCTGTAGAAATGCACCATGAAGCTCTGGTAGAAGCTGTTCCAGGTGACAACGTTGGTTTCAACGTGAAGAACGTTTCTGTGAAGGACCTGAAGCGTGGTTTCGTTGCTTCAGACTCCAAGAACGATCCTGCCAAGGAGGCCGCTGACTTCACTGCACAAGTGATCGTTTTGAACCACCCTGGTCAAATCAATGCTGGGTACACACCTGTGCTTGACTGCCACACTGCTCACATTGCCTGCAAGTTCTTCGAGCTACTGGAGAAGATCGACAGACGTACTGGTAAGGTCTTAGAGCAGGCTCCTAAAAGCATAAAATCCGGAGATTCTTGTGTTGTGAAAATGTCCCCAGCAAACCGATGTGTGTAGAGACCTTCCAGCAATATGCTCCTCTGGACTTTTGGGTGCGTGACATGAAGCAGACGGTGGCCGTTGGCGTAATTAAGGGAGGTGACAAAGAAAAGGCAGTGGTAAGACACAAAGGCAGCTGAGAAGGCACTCAAGAAGAAGTAACTATCTGTTGGGGGCCCCTCCATGGCCTGGGTGTGCAGCAGGCACTATGACCTCACTTGGTTCACCCAATACTCTTATATCCACAGGAAGTCGTCAGGAGGAAAGATGCCCCACTAAATAGGGCGTATTTAATTATTTCTTGCTGTGCCATGTGGCATATATAAACGAATTAACGTTGATAATATACATCAGCTTTAATTAATTTTTTGGCACCCCCTGTCTTTGCTTCCCTCGGTTCTTACTTTTGTTTATTTATTTGGTAACGATACTGTATATCCAAGCTTAAAGTACAGAAAAAAACAATGTATTTTAACAATTCGACGAAAAAATAACATATCTGTGATGAACTGTGGTAATTTTTACCAATTTTAAAAATTTTAATTGGAAAGATTGTATAAAAAAAATAGCATTAAAAATGTGCCAAATATATAAAATTTAAATATAATATAATATATATATATATATATATATATATATATATATATTAATATATATTAAATTTTATTTATTTATAATTTTCTCCCATAAGCATTGCTTCTTATCACTGGCTGAGGTTTTCCACCCTTGAAGGAGAGTGTTTCAGTGCTTAAAGGCTCTTGATCCAGGGAATTGGAGCTCTTTTTTCCTTCCTCGGATCAAATTTATTCCCCCATTCCCTAGGCACTGTGAGACCTCCCCTTTTTAGGTTTAGCGCTTCTCCGGTGTGATTATTATTTAATTCGCCAGGGAGTGCTAAGCCCACAAGGGGGGGGGGGTTATACCCTGGGGGATGTGAGGTAATGTGGTTTGATCCGAGGAAGGGCAGCTCCAGTTCCCGTGATCAAGAGCCCTCGAGGAGCATCAAGGCTGTTTATATATGCACTAAGTGTTTATCATTATGGTAGCGAAGGCTGTTTAGTAGCCTCTGTGTAGTAGGCTATGTAGCCTGTGTTTAGTAGGCTATGTAGCCTGTGTTTAGTAGGCTATGTAGCCTGTGTTTAGTAGGCTATGTAGCCTGTTTAGTAGGCTATGTAGCCTGTGTTTAGTAGGCTATGTAGCCTGTGTTTTAGGTAGGGGAATATGTAGCCTGTGTTTAGTAGGCTATGTAGCCTGTGTTTAGTAGGCTATGTAGCCTGTGTTTAGTAGGCTATGTAGCCTGTGTTTAGTAGGCTATGTAGCCTGTGTTTAGAGGTATGTAGCCTTTTTTAATAGGCTATGTAGCCTGTGTTTAGTAGGCTAGTAGCCTGTGTTTAGTAGGCATGTAGCCTGTGTTTAGTAGGCTATGTAGCCTGTTTAGTAGGGTATGTAGCCTTTTGTTTAGTAGGCTATGTAGCCTTTTTTAGTAGGCTATGTAGCCTGTGTTTTGTAGGCTATGGGACCCTGTTAGTAAAGGGTATGTAGCCGTTTAATAGGCTATGTAGCCTGTTAAGTAAGGCTATGTAGCCTTTTTTAGTAGGGTATGTAGCCTGTGTTTAGTAGGTTTTGTAGCCTGTTTAATAGGCTATGTAGCCTGTGTTTAGTAGGCATGTAGGGCCCGTGTTTAGTAGGTTAAAGTACCCCGTGTAAGTAGGCTATGTAGCCTTTTAGTAGGCTATTGTAGCCTGTGTTTAGTAAGGCTATGTTTGCCTGTTTGCTATTTAGTAGGCTATGTACCCCGGTTTAAATAGGTATGTAGCCTGTTTAAATAGGCTATGTAGCCTGTTTAAATAGGCTATGTAGCCTTTTTTAGTTTGGCTATGTAGCCTTGTGTTTTAGTAGGCTATGTTTGCCTGTTTAGTAGGCTATGTAGCCTTGTTTAGTAGGCTATGTAGCCTGTGTTTAGTAGGTTTTGTACCTGTGTTAAGTAGGCTATGTAGCCCATTTTTAGTAGGCTATTAGCCTGTTTATACTTTTGTGGCCTTGTTTAGTAGGCTATGTGCCTTTTTAGTAGGCTATGGTGCCTTTTGGTTTTGTAGGGTAATGACCTTTGTTAAATAGGCTATTGTTATAGGCCTGTGTTTAGTAGGCTATGCTTAATAGGTCATGTTTAGTAGACTATTTTTAGTGGCCTATGATTAATAGGCTATATATAGTAGACCATGTTTAATAGGCTATGTTTTGTAGGCTATGTTTAATGGACTATGTTATGTAGGCTATGTTTTATGGACTATGTTATGTAGGCTATGTTAATGCATATACACGGGCGTACACTGAAATTTTACCAGGGAGATGTGAGAGGAATATACAAGCTTGGTTCTTGACATCATTATAAATGTTTTGCTGGTATAAATACACTTTCAGAAGGAAAAAAGTCATAGATACCACATTTCGCCCACTGCCAGTGGGCGAAATGTGGCCATCTAGTTGGAAAAGAGGACTAGGCAACTTGAAGCTGGATTATCTATGTATTTTTTTTTATCTGGGGTGCTGATTGAGTTATGGGGTGGATTTTTTACCTTCTGGGTCCTCCACTGACCACTGGTATTTGATAAAGCCCCCTTTAGTGGGTGAAATGTTGCATTAATCAAATTTCTTGGCTGAAAGTGTTATTGTATACCATTGTCGGCTCAGAGGCATTAATGTACATGGCTAAGTCCCCTTAACACAGGTTTGATCCATGGTTAGTGGACGCCCATGCTTGTAGATTAAGTTAATTCGGAAATCATTCAGTATATCCTAAAAAAAAAGAACGTCTGTAGTGTTTTTTCCAAATTCAAAAATGAAGGAAATTTGTCCCTGTTGATTTTCTGAACGAAGAAATTCCTCACTAGTTTTTCACCTTCTGCTGTTGCAAGATGGATAATAAAATTACCAAATGGTTGTTGAAGCATGTGATACTTGTGTAACATTGTTGCAGGAACGTTTCGCCATAGTGGGTTCCGAAATGTTGCAAAATTCTCAATTATTTTTCTCAATTATTTGCATCATATCAAAAGACTGTATCGAAAATAAACTTGCCAGTATGGCAGTTTTTTTTATGGATATATTACCATATACGCTAGATTAACCTCACTTACAATATTAAAAAAATATAATGTTAACTTTTATGTATGGAGGAGAAGTTGAATTACTGTACTAAGAGTGATAACCTTGTCTTTAACAATAATCAAGGTTATCATAGAGTTAAAATACATTTTAACTTCTCTCGTGCCAGCATCTGTTGTTAGGTAAGACACATATGCAACAGTTAGGTATCTAACTGTTGCTTATGTGTCTTACCTAACAACCTGTCGGTATTTTATACCATTTTAATGCCAGCACCTGCTGGTTCCTGTGCCATATAACAGCTGTGTTGGTCAATTTGATTATTTTTTATGTATTTAATCACTTCTAGGCTCAACTAAAACTATTCAACAGATGTTTAAAGTCCATTTGGTTACTTTTTACCTAAGCTGCCACCATTTAGCAGATGTTACCTATGTTTTTGATTACTTTCCACCTCTGGTGGTACCATTAACAGCTGTTTAGTTATAGGTGATTTGTTTAATAACATCTAGCATGACATAGCAGTTGTTTAAGGGCTACTTCATTACTCTTAACCTAATACAAGAATAATCTTAATTTATAAAGGGGTGAAGGAGTAAGCCAGTGGAAGGCCTCGGTCAGATGACTAAAACCTCCAGTCGCGGGTCACCATATGACTAAGACCCGCGTCAGGAAACACTTGTCCTGTTTCCTGACAAACCTAACCTAACCTAACCTAACCTAACCTAACCTAACCTTACCTAACCTAACCTTACCTAACCTAACCTAACCTAACCTTACCTAACCTAACCTTACCTAACCTAACCTAACCTAACCTAACCTAACCTAACCTAACCTAACCTAACCTAATTTAACCTTACCTAACCTAACCTAACCTAACCTAACCTAACCTAACCTAACCTAACCTAACCTAACCTAACTTAACCTTACCTAACCTAACCTTACCTAACCTAACCTAATACCTAACCTAACCTAACCTAACCTAACCTAACCTACCTATACCTAACCTAACTAACCTAATCTAACCTAATCAACAAACCTTACCTAACCTAACCTAACCTAACCAACAACCTAACCCTAACCTAACCTAACCTAACCCTAACCTAACCTAACCAAACCTTTACCTAACCTAACCTTACCTAACCTAACACCTAACCTAACCTAACTTAACACTAAACCTAACCACCAACCTGACCTAACCTAACCTAACCCTAACCAAACCTTACCTAACCTAACCTAACCTAACCTAAACTTAACCTAACCTAACCTAACCCAACCTAACCTAACCTAACCTAACCTAACCTAACCTAACCTTACCTAACCTTACCTAACCTAACCTAACCTAACTTAACTTAACTTAACCTAACCTAACCTAACCTAACCTAACCTAACCTAACCTAACCTAACCTAACCTAACCTAACCTAACTTTACTTAACCTGATATAATTTACCGAATGGTGAGTAATTATCCCACTATTTCTAACTACAACAACTGTACCTTCTCTGCACCACTATCACTAGCTTCTACATAATTAACACAGAATTTAGAAATTACTATTATGTTCACAAGAATTCGCAAAATCTAAATGGGTTATTTAGCTTGGAGTTAAAACGTTAAATGAGAAATATTTATAACATCGTATTCTGGGGGATTATAACATCGTATTCTGGGGGATTATAACATCGTATTCTGGGGGATTTAGAGAAACTGTCAGTTGTAATGAAGTGTCAAGTGAGTTGTGATTCGCAATAATTTATAGTGCAAAAATATATATTGGAATATATGGGGTGATAGGGGAAAAATACTCAAACGGCTTCTGAAAGAAATAGACACAGGATATATATTTTGAGATGTGTATATCTGCCAGAGTATATATGTTGCTAGTATTACCGTATTCTTGACTGGTGGTGAAGAGGTAAGATGCAGCCTTGACGACCCATAGTGTAGTCGATAGGTTTTAAATCCCATTAACCAACCTTCCTCCCATAGAAGCAATTTTACTTATCTGAGGGTATAATTTCCCGTTAATCTCTCCAGAGGTGAACCCCATATATGAGAACAATGCAAATTACATCAGGTACAAATGTAGCTATCCACTCACTTGATAATTCAAAAAAACATTAAAAAAGTCACACAGACCTTTTTTTTTTAGCTATCCTAGGTAATTTACACATATGTAACTATGTATAATAATTGTACTCATGTGCACCTGTACCTAATTAAACTTAATTACTGTTCCTGTGGTTCATCGTCACTAGGCACTGCAAAGCTTTACTGTAATTTGACTTAGTAAGTCACTATGACCTGGGATTTAATACCTTTGTAATTTGTTCAGCTATCAAAACTTTGTGGTCCAGTCCCTGGACCCATTTATGTACCTCTGTAATCTTTAGACTACCGCCCACAGGATGGGTATGGGGTGCATAATAAACATATTAAACTATGGCTGGATGGAAAGCTTTATCGAGACAATGATTCACTTGGAGAAGTTGATCAACTTGCTGGAATAATCTCACGGTGGCTTAAACACACACAGAACAAGCATTGTATATTCCCCCTGGAATGTTGTGTATACCAGGAAGATTTCCATATTGCAACTCTTGTTTGCAATGATTTGGAGAAGGGGGGGGGGATAAATTATTATAATTTAACTACGTTTCGCCCACAGTAGGTCTTTGACAGCATCCGTCCCACAGCGGTCGAAATGTCTTTAAATAAGACATAATGTGTCTGATTCAGCCTCCAGTGAGATCTAGTCCGAGCATCTTGACAACTGATCCAAGCTTTATCTCCCCACCAGTGTCTTGCGACTACTGAACATTGCTGTGTACGGGTCTAGAGCGATGTGCTATATGCATTATACTCTTAATATACCTGAATAATAAATAAAAAAAACACTATACATAGCTCTCTCATTAACCATGACTAACAGCACTGCATGATAGGTGTATGTTTCAGTGTATATACACCGATAAATGCATGTCACTCTGTATATACACTGAGCTGTTTGTGTGTATATATATATATATATATATATATATATATATATATATATATATATATATATATATACACCAAGAGGTGTATCTCAGTGTATATACACTGGTAGTTTACATTAATCAGTGTTTTAGGTATTAAAGTATTCTTGACTGGTGGTGTACAGGTGACATGCAGCCTTAATGGCCCTCGTGTAGTAGATAGACTTTAAACCCCATTAACCAACCTACCAACCTTAATGACCCTCGTGTAGAAGATAGACTTTAAACCCCATTAGCCAACAACCAGCATTAATGATCCTCGTGTAGTAGATAGACTTTAAACCCCATTAACCAACAACCAGCCTTAATGACCCTCGTGTAGTAGATAGACTTTAAACCCCATTAACCAACCAACCAGCCTTAATGACCCTCGTGTAGTAGATAGACTTTAAACCTCATTAACCAACAACCAGCCTTAATGATCCTCGTGTAGTAGATAGACTTTAAACCCCATTAACCAACAACCAGCCTTAATGATCCTCGTGTAGTAGATAGACTTTAAACCCCATTAACCAACCAACCAGCCTTAATGACCCTCGTGTAGTAGATAGACTTTAAACCCCATTAGCCAACAACCAGCCTTAATGATCCTCGTGTAGTAGATAGGATTCAAACCCCATTAACCAACCAGCATAACTATGTAGGATATTATTTTCATGGGGAAAGCTAAACCCACAAGGGTTATACAGTTGAGACATGGGAGTTAAGGAGGTTTGATGCAAAGGAGATCAGCTCATAGTCCTCGGATCAGAAATCCCGGTTGATACAACTAATAGAATTTTTATCCATCAAAATTATTATATTTGGATGAGCTAAAACCGTAGGGGCCATACAACACCTTGGAAACGAGAGGAAATCAGGTTCAGTCGAAGGATGATTAGCTCAAGTTCTCTGGATCAAGAGCCCTTTACAGTTGTGTTGTAGAGGTCTGAGCTGTTCTCAGACATCAACAACTCAATTGTCATCAAAGATTTGTTATGTTATACCATGAATTAAGTAAAGATCCTGGACGTCACCTTACGAAACAGACACAGTAAATGTGATGGTAATTATGGACAAGGTGGATTATAGTGGGAAAAATGAATAAGTTATTAGAAGACGAGGGAACTTACGTGGCTCTTAGGGAAGAGAGTTCTAGCCCACAGAGTTAAATAATACGCTTCAACATTGTTATCATACTTATTAACATTGTTATCATACTTATTAACATTGTTATCATACTTATTAACATTGTTATCATACTTGCTAACATTGTTATCATACTTACTAACATTGTTATCATACTAACATTGTTATCATACTAACATAGTTATCATACTTACTAACATTGTTATCATACTTACTAACATTGTTATCATACTAACATTGTTATCATACTTACTAACATTATCATACTTACTAACATTGTTATCATACTTACTAACATTGTTATCATACTTACTAACATTGTTATCATACTAACATTGTTATACTAACATTGTTATCATACTTACTAACATTGTTATCATACTTACTAACATTGTTATCATACTAACATTGTTATCATACTAACATTGTTATACTAACATTGTTATCATACTTACTAACATTGTTATCATACTTACTAACATTGTTATCATGCTAACATTGTTATCATACTTACTAACATTGTTATCATACTTACTAACATTGTTATCATACTAACATTGTTATCATACTAACATTGTTATCATACTTACTAACATTGTTATCATACTTACTAACATTGTTATCATACTTACTAACATTGTTATCATACTAACATTGTTATCATACTAACATTGTTATCATACTTACTAACATTGTTATCATACTTACTAACATTGTTATCATGCTAACATTGTTATCATACTACTAACATTATCATACTTACTAACATTGTTATCATACTAACATTGTTATCATACTTACTAACATTGTTATCATACTTACTAACATTGTTATCATACTTACTAACATTGTTATCATGCTTACTAACATTATCATACTAACATTGTTATCATACTTACTAACATTGTTATCATACTTACTAACATTGTTATCATACTTACTAACATTGTTATCATACTTACTAACATTGTTATCATACTAACATTGTTATCATGCTTACTAACATTATCATACTAACATTGTTATCATACTTACTAACATTGTTATTATACTTACTAACATTGTTTTCATACTTACTAACATTGTTATCATACTAACATTGTTATCATACTAACTAACATTGTTATCATACTTACTAACATTGTTATCATACTTACTAACATTGTTATCATACTAACATTGTTATCATACTAACATTATCATACTTACTAACATTATCATACTTACTAACATTGTTATCATACTTACTAACATTGTTATCATACTTACTAACATTGTTATCATACTAACATTGTTATCATACTAACATTGTTATCATACTTACTAACATTGTTATCATACTTACTAACATTGCTATCATACTTACTAACATTGTTATCATACTAACATTGTTATCATACTAACATTATCATACTTACTAACATTGTTATCATACTTACTAACATTGTTATCATACTTACTAACATTGTTATCATACTTACTAACATTGTTATCATACTAACATTGCTATCATACTTACTAACATTGTTATCATACTAACATTGTTATCATACTAACATTATTATCATACTAACATTGTTATCATACTTACCAAGCTGCTGGATTCTTTAGTAAGTTTATTTAGGTACAGGTCAACATAAGCACAATGATCATACATGGTAACACATGCAAAACAACCACGGGAGGAGTTGCATGATAGCTCTAGGCCTTTCTTGCTGTAATCAGCACATCATCGAAAGCTTACAATGTTGCAGAAATGAACAGGAAGTCCAGGTAGATCCGTTCAAAGGAACGATTCTAGCTAGATTCGTTCCCTCAAATGCATCTACTTGGACTTCCTACTCATTTCTGCAACATTGCAAGCTCCTGAAGATGTGTTGATTGAAACATGAAAGGCCTAGAGCTATCATTCAACTCCCCCCGTGAGTGTTTTGCATCTTGTATCACTTGTTCGCGATTTTTGCATAGTAACATATATGTGTAAGTTACCTAGTCAGAGTGACTAATTTCCATTGTGGTTCTTGTTTGTCCTCAACACATGAATATCAGTATAAGTAAACCAAAAAAAAATTTTGTTTGTTGA